GAAAGAGTGGGAAACAGCATCAGGAACTGCCCCAGAGCGCTCATCTCAGGGCACCCAACGCCCCAAGACCAATGCTTTCACCCTTTCTCGTCAGTCACATCATGCCCAAAGAGTTGGGGCAAAGCTCCTGCTCTTGACATCTCTTACATTTTTTTTTTGGGTTGAGATCTGCCCCAAGCTGGTGTCTTGGGATCCCACCATAGGCATCCTGGGCCAGGACGGCTTTCCAATGCATTTAGAAGGCACTGGCCAGACACTAAACCTCATTATTTTTGGAAACAAGAAGTGTTTTTTGTGCGCGAATGGGACTTTTTCCAGCTGCTCTTCAAAAAAAAAAAAAAAAATACAGTGGAAAGATATTAAGAAACAATACTAATGAAAAAAGGGTGTTATTAACCTACATGCCCAACATAAAGACTCCTGCTTCCAGCAGGACTTGGATCAGGTTCTTAAAAATGACAATTCTTGCAGAGCTGCGTTTTTGCTTTAGACAAGCCAGATTCCTGGTGCCAAGAGGAGAACTGTGCTCGCATTCCAGCAAAACTTTAAACAACCTGCCCACCTTATCACCGTCATCTGTTTGTAGCAGTAAAGTTGGGCTAAGTGTATATAAAAGGAGACTTGGTCATAAATCCCCATTCATAACCTTACAGTCAAGGTTGTCTTGCTCTCCGCAAGGCGAGGGGTTTCCGACCGTGCCAGAAAGGCGTCACGATGGGATAAAACTTGGCACCCGGGTCTCCAAGACAGGAATTAAATAAAGGAAAAAATGGTGTCACCGCTGTGTGCTCTGGAAGTGCAAAAGCAAAATCACCGAGCCTTTCAGACGGCTGCTTGTTTCTCGGTCAAAAACCTCAATGGCAAGAGAGAAAACTCGAGACCTAAAGCGGATCTCCTGCAATCTCATCCCCAGATCTGCGCCGGACTTCACAGAAGAGCCGAAGGGCAGCGACGGGCTCTTATCGTAGCGCTGCAGCAGAAACTTCTCCCTCCGAGAGTCCTCTGAGGACCTCTTCAGAGAAAGGAGAGGTCTCCCCCCTCAGCCGCCGTGCTTCGCGCAAAACAAATTAAAACCGAGAAACAGTTGTGCTCTCAGGGCGGCTCTGTTGTGCAATCTCTCGTTGGTAGCAGTCGCCGGGCACGCGGGCTGCTTGGCAGGGTCATCTGCGCGTTAGAATTTTGGTCTGCAGGCTACTGCAGAAGAACAACATCTTCTAGCCAAAATAAATAAAAAGGCAGGCACCTGAAAGCTTCCTGCCTGCACCGGCACGGCGGCAGGAGGGAAGGGCAGCCGGGCAGCACGGGCACACGCTGCCGCGCTTCCCCTGGGGCCCCGCGGCCAAACGCAGCCATGCACCTCCCTCCCAACAGCCGGGGTCCTCGTTTGTAGTGTTTGCGCTCATCATCTTAGCGATGCTTTTAACGCCGTTCCTGGTGGACGGAGGTTATTAAAGATCCTCTCGACATTTCAGGCAGACACACGCTAGCGTTTTGTCATAGTCTAGGAATTCAAACACTCACCCAGTTAGGCAGGAGTTTAAATTATGAAAAATAGAGGTCTCTCAGTTTCAAAGCACTGAAGAGAAGTAAAAAAATCTGAAGAATTTCTTTAAACTGTTTTTCCCTTAGGTCAGGAAGCAGTAGTGATATAAAACTAGAATGTCACTAGTAGCCCCTCTGGTCAGCGGGGTCATACACAAGAAGGCATGAGGGCTTGCTTGGCCACCGATGGGAGCAAATTCTCACTGGTGGCACTCCCTGGAGTGCAGATGGTCCAGAAATGGGGATTATTAGTAGACTTGCCGGAAAATGCTCTTGATCTAGTGATAGTGTTCCTGAGCAAGGGCTGTTCTGACATGTACAAAAGGATGTGCTCTGTACAGGGGGTCTGAGGACAATCATGTCCCATCTGAAGCCTCATTCTTTTTTCCTCTATCCAATTGGAAAGCTCTGCATGGTGGGAGTTTTCAGATGGCCACACGGGTCTTCATGGTAAGCTGATTCCGTGAGGTTTCCCTCATCTCTGTGGGGTACACGCATGATCTAGGTGCCTAACTGTGGTTCAACAGAGAGCACACCCAGAGCAAGCTTTGCAAACTTGGACACCAGGACACACTCCTCGCCCTGGAGAGGTCAAATCCTAAAGCTCCACAGGTAGGAAAGGCAGGAGAGGGAAGGCACAGAAAGCACAGGCCAGAAGGGCCTCAAGGCGAGGGGGCAGCACGGGGATCTGGCGACCACAGAGCAAGAGAGAAGACATTAGGCAGAGATGATGGAGAAACTGCACAGGAGGAAAAAACGACAGAAAACAATGACAAGGAGCAGGAAT